GTGGCACTTCCTCGACACCAGAGGGGGTGCGCAGGGGGTGGTCCCTGAGCGCGGCGTCTATGCGGGCCATGGCGCAAGGCACGGCAGGCGTGGCAGCTTCTCAGCACCAAAAGGGGTGCGCAGGGGGTGGTCCCTGAGCGCGGCGTCTATGCGGGCCATGGCGCAGGGCACGGCAGGCGTGGCAGTTTCTCGCCACCAGAGGGGGTGCGCAGGGGGGGCTCCTTGAGAGCGGCGTCTATGCGGGCCATGGTGCCAGGGCAGGGTCGCAGGCGTGGCATTTTCTCGACACCAGAGGGGGTGCGCAGGGGGTGGTCTCCCTATGCGTGCCAGGGTCGCCCAGGCATTGCAGGCGTGGCATTTTCTCGACACCAGAGGGGGTGCGCAGGGGGTGGTCTCCCTATGCGTGCCAGGGTCGTCCAGGCATTGCAGGCGTTGCATTTTCTCGACACCAGAGGGGGTGCGCAGGGGGTGGTCTCCCTATGCGTGCCAGGGTCGTCCAGGCATAGCAGGCGTGGCATTTTCTCGACACCAGAGGGGGTGCGCAGGGGGTGGTCTCCCTATGCGTGCCAGGGTCGTCCAGGCATAGCAGGCGTGGCATTTTCTCGACACCAGAGGGGGTGCGCAGGGGGTGGTCTCCCTATGCGTGCCAGGGTCGCCCAGGCATTGCAGGCGTTGCATTTTCTCGATACCAGAGGGGGTGCGCAGGGGGTGGTCTCCCTATGCGTGCCAGGGTCGTCCAGGCATTGCAGGCGTTGCATTTTCTCGACACCAGAGGGGGTGTGCAGGGGGTGGTCTCCCTATGCGTGCCAGGGTCGCCCAGGCATTGCAGGCGTGGCATTTTCTCGACACCAGAGGGGGTGCGCAAGGGGTGGTCTCCCTACGCGTGCCAGGGTCGTCCATGCATAGCAGGCGTGGCATTTTCTCGGCACCAGAGGGGGTGCGCAGGGGGTGGTCTCCCTATGGTGACAGGGTCGTCCAGGCATTGCAGGCGTTGCATTTTCTCGACACCAGAGGGGGTGCGCAGGGGGTGGTCCCCCTATGCGTGCCAGGGTCGTCCAGGCATAGCCTCTAGTGCGGGATTGAGTATTACCTCTCGTATCCAAGTGCCAGGCGACGCTGGATATGACCGTCACAGATGACTCCTCAACCCCTCCTCTCCCCCCACACGTCCTCCCCCTCCTTTCAACGACCACAAGGGGCACCTGAGAGCATGACGGCGGTGGTACTGGTAGCGCGGTTCACACAAGTCATAACATCAGTATGTGGGGGTCCTCGGTAGCGTAATTTGAGACGTATAGATTCCTTCCCTGCAGGCCAAGGCCCTGGCAAGCGGCGGGGCGGCCGCGGACCGTCGGCCTGACCAGCGGCAGCGCTGATCGGCGGCAGCCCGACCCCAGGAGGGACGGACAAGGGACAGACCACGACGACGACGACGACGACGACGGCGACGGCGACGACGAGCGAAAGCGATAGCGAGAGTAACAGCGGGGCCACGAGGGGCAGGAAGGGGGCCACGAAGGGCGACAGCGGGGCAACGAAGGGCATGCGTATGGAGCCACGAAGGGCGCGAACGAGCGGGGGCCACGAAGGGCAGATAATGCGGGGCCACAGAGGGCAACGACGGGGCCACTGAGTATAGTAATGGGGCCACGTAGGACAGCAAGGGGGCAACAAAGGGCGACAGCGGGGCCACGAAAGGCCTGCATACTGGGCCACGAAAGGCAGCAAGAGGGCCACGAAGGGCGACAGCGGAGCCACGAAGCGCATGCAGATGGGGCCACGACGGGCGCGAACGAGCAGGGGGCCCGACGAAAGGGCAGATTTGCGGGGCCACGGGGGGCAACGACGGGGCCACTGAGTTAGCTACGGGGCCACGTAGGACAGCGAGGGGGCCACAAACGGCGACAGCGGGGCCACGAACGGCGACAGCGGGGCCACGAAGGGCATGCAGATTGGGGCCACGGCGGGCGCGAACGAGCGGGGGCCACGAAGCGCATGCATAGATTGGGCCGCAGAGGGCAAGGACGGGGCCACTGAGGGCAGCAACGGGGCCACGAAGGGCAGCGAGGGGGTCACAGGGTGACACCAGGGCCACGAAGCGCATGCAGATGGAGCCACGACGAACGCGAACGAGCGGGGGCCAAGAAGGGCATACAGATGGGGCCACAAAGGGCAGCGAGGGGACCACGAAGGGCTGCAACGGGGCCACAAAGGGCAGCGAGGGGGCCACGAAGGGCTGCAAAGGGTCCACGAATGGCAGCGAGGGGGCCACGAAGGGCTGCAACGGGTCCACGAATGGCAGCGAGGGGGCCACGAAGGGCTGCAACGGGGCAGCGAAGGGCAGCGAGATCCCGATTCCTAAATAAGCTGCGAGGGAGTCCTGAGCATGAACGCGAGTCCTGGGTGCCTGAGTGTCGGGAGCGCGGCGCTTGAGTAAATGGCGAGGCGTTCCAACGCTAGAGCGCGATCCTGGATAACATTGCAAGCAAGTCTCCAGCGAGAGCGCGACTCCAGAGCGCTGAGAAAGCGATTCCTGAATAAATTGTAAGGAATTCCCAAGCAAGAGCGCGACCCCTAAGAACAGACGCGAGGAAGCCTCAGGCGGGAGCAGGGTCCTGGTTAAATTGGGAGGAAAACTCAAGCGGGAGCCAATGTTGCTGTAATTCGGGGGCCAGGGGCGCAATTTTAGCCTAGTGACTTTCCGGATTGAAAAAAAGAGTGCGAGCACCGGGGCAAGCGCTTCAATTGAAAAACGAAATGGTCACCAGAGGGGGAATCAACAATAACTATGCTTCAGCAGTGGGAGTTCGGCAACAGCAACAGCAGCAACAAAAACACCAATAACAACAACGAGAACAACAACAACAGCATCACCAATCCGCAGCGCAAATTCCCACTCGAGCCACGCACCCAGGGAACAATGAATGATCGTTCGGCCCCCTCACTCTGATTAGTGCCATTATTGTCAGTAGTAGAAAAATGGTAATAGTAGTAGTAGTAGTAGTAGTAATCGTAGTAGTAGTAGTAGTAGTAGTAGTAGTAGTAGTAGTAGTAGTAGTAGTAGTAGTAGTAGTAGTAGTAGTAGTAGTAGTAGTAGTAGTAGTAGTAGTAGTAGTAGTAGTAGTAGTAGTAGTAGTAGTAGTAGTAGTAGTAGTAGTAGTAGTCGTAGTAGTAGTAGTAGTAGTAGTAGTAGTAGTAGAAGTGGTAGTAGTAGTACTAGTAGTAGTAGTTGTAGCAGTAGTAGTAATAGTAGTATTAGTAGTAGTAGTATGTAGTGGTAGTAGTAGTACTAGTAAGTAACTAGTAATAGTAGTAGTAGTAGTAATAGTAGTCGTAGTAGTGGTTGTTGTAGTAGCTAGCAGCAGCAGCAGTAGTAGTAGTAGTAGTAGTAGTAGTACTAGTAGTAGTAGTAGTAGTAGTAGTAGTAGTAGTAGTAGTAGTAGTAGTAGTAGTAGTGGTAGTAGTAGTAGTAGTAGTAGTAGTAGTAGTATTAGTAGCAGTAGTGGTAGTAGTAGTAGTAGTAGTAGTAGTAGTAGTAGTGGTGGTAGTAGTACTAGAATTAGGAGTAGTAGCATAAATACTGCCACTACCACTACAACTACCCATGGTAGTATGAAATGTATGTGTTAGTACTGTGCAACACTATCACCAGTATGGATACCAGTCTTAATGTCACCAGCATTAATATCAGTACTGTTGGCATTACTATTCGTATAATTGTTAGCACCGTTATTATCATTGGTTACAAGTATGGACCGTCGTAGAATCATTATCATGATCCTCCTCCTCCTCCCCCTACTCCTCCTTCTCGTCATTATGAATCCTCGCTTCCTCCCCACCTCTGGCTGAGCTCCTATGCTCCACGACAAGACCGAGTTGAACCACACCTACGACCAAGAGGTGGCCAACTGACAACTTCGAGCGGGTAGGAATGAGATCCTGAGAAAGGCAAGTGTCCAGACTTCAGCCTCGAGCTCGAGATGATTGGTAAGGCTTACGATGGATCCGTGAGGTTCCGATAGCAGCGAACGAACGTTTCAGGATAAACAAAACGGGCACCTACACCCCAAAAGCAAATTCTCCCAACCTTCCACCCAATAGAACGCCCTCCCTACTCCTGCCCCATCCTCTTCCCTCGTCTTCCTCAACCTTTGACAATTACTCAATATGAATACTACTCTCCCTCTTCCCCTGATGACGGTTTGAAAGTGCTCGACCCCCCCCCCCGCGTACTTTTTTTTGATTTCCCCGGAGTTGGGTTTTCGCCCGCATTTTTTTCAAAATGCTGCTTTCGCTGAGGCGCTGGCCTCATTTTCGGGCCCCGCTCGTTCCGAATCGTGCTCCCGCTGCAGCGCTGGCCTCATTTCCGTGCTTCCGCTCGTTCCGAATCGTGCTCCCGCTGCAACGCTAGCCTCATTTCCCGTGCCATGCCACGGCATGCAATGCAATGCCAGGTTGATGCTACGCTTTGCGGTGCTCTTCTACGCCATGCCATGCCGTGCTCTACAATGCATCGCGTACCCTTTCGGGATCATTGCCCTGCTCGACACCCGACTGTGCTAGTAGAGAGGGGACCTACGCCATGGTAAGGGATGGGAGGGAGGGGTAGGATGTCAAATATGACGCGAGCGCACCTAGCTTGTCCTCCTCCCCCTCCCCCTCATCCCCTCTCCTCCTCCTCTTGACCCTCCGTCCCCCTCCGTCCTCCGCCTCCTCTTGACCCTCGTCTTTTGGCCCTCGTCCTCGAGGCACCCCCTCCTCTTCCTCTTCCTCCTCCTCCTCCTCCTCCTCGTCCTCCTCCTCGTCCCCGTCCTCCTCGTCCTCGTCCTCGTCCTCGTCCTCGTCCTCGTCCTCGTCCTCGTCCTCGTCCTCGTCCTCCTCCTCCTCCTCCTCTTCTCCTCCTCTCCCCCCTCTCATCTCCTCCTCTCTCCACCTCCCCCTTCCCGACACGCTCGCCGCGGCGGGCGGGGAGGGTGGCGGGGGCGGGCGGCGCGGCGGGCCCGCGCGCGGTCTTCGCGTGCGAGGCCGCGACTATCTGCTGGCCAAGGCCTCGGGGGCGGAGGCCAGAGGTCGTCTGTGGCTCCGGAGAGGAGGCCCAGAGGGCTTCTCGGAGGGCGCGCCCGCCGTCGGGGCAGCAATCGGTGACGCTGTCGGTGAAGCTGTCGGTGCCGCTGTCGGTGCTGTGGGTGCACTTGTTGGCGCCGCTGTCGTTCGCAGCCCCACAGGGAGCTCCACCGAAGGCCCCAGTGGCATGGCTCGCATGATGCCCCCCCTCCACTTTGGCACACCCTTCACGCGCTTCGTGGCCCCATAGAGGACCCCACCGAAGGCCCCAGTGGCATGGTTCGCATGCCGCCCCCCTCCACCTTGGCACTCACCTCACACGCTTCGTGGCCCCATAGGGAGCTCCACCGAAGGCCTCAGGGGCATGGTCCGCATGCCGCCCCCCCTCCACTTGGCACACCCTCAGACGTGCCGTGGCCGCACGGGGAGCTCCACCGAGGGGCCCAGACATGCCGCCCCCCCCTCCACTTTGGCACACCACTCGCATGCTTCGTGGCCTCGCAGGGAGCTCCACCGAACGCCCCAGCGGCATGGTTCGCCTGCCGCCCCCCTCCACTGTGGCACAGCCTGCATGCGCTTCGTAGCCCCGTAGGCCATAGGGAATTCCACCGAAGGCCCCAGCGGTAGCGCCCGCATGGTGGGCCCGCCCAATTTTGGCGCACCCTTCGCGCGCTTCGTGCCCAGAGGGAGCTCCACGGAAAACAATTCTCACAACGGCGGCATTCACAACTGCATATGATTCGGTCCTTCGCCAAGAGAATTGTTCTGTGGATGTGGTCAAGCGTCGTGGCTGGAGGCTAAGCACGCTTCCGTGCAGCATGGTTCCATGTTTGTGTACTTGTGAATTGTGCAAGTCTTCCTTCGAAAATAAGGGAATGCCGGCCTCAAAGGCATGACATGTTAAACATAATTCAAGTCTACCAGGGCGCGAACCGCGGGATGAAAACACCCAGCTGTCTCAACTAAGGTCAACGAGCTGTCCACAATCGGAACAGACGACATATTGCAAGCACAATGCAGCACATCTGCTGAACATGGCCAACCATGTCTCTAGTCCTGGTGCCACCGCGCACCGCGAAGCACAGCGCGAAGCACAGCGCGAAGCACACGCGAAAAATTCCAACCCGAATAATGGGAACTTCTCGGCCACATGTAGTAATGACCCTGCATAGAGGGACTCACGAGGACCCTGTGGTGGATCGGGTGATGCACTCGTTGAGCAATACAATAACGTGGTGAGGTTGAAGATGCGATGGCACATCCCTTGGTAGGCTATCCCGCGGCTGGCCCAGTGGGGGAGAACCCAAGTCCCGGAACTCGATCGACCCAGGGGGCAGGTGAGGGGGGGGGGGGGGGGGGCAAAAGGCGCTCTGGAATTCTGGTGTCCCTGGCTTTGAAATCAACCACTGGGACATATGATAAACCTCTCGGCTTGAAACATTCCACCTGTTAAAATGTGTTGAACCTCCCATGTGGGCTCTGATGATTCGTGCCTGTTCCCAAGCTCGTCTCGACAAGGGCGAGTCGTTCCACGGAGTCGCGAACGGAGTGTGGGCTCGTAATCGGGAGTGGCAGCAATCACAGAAAGCAGACCTAAAAATAACACAAGTAGAGCAATATGGGAGCCGACATCACGAGAGTGGCCAGCTCCGATACAAAGTCAAAAACAACATGGCATGGTAACGTCAATTGTACATCGCAGGCGATATCGCGTGATGGCATTGAGGCTCGGCGTGTAGGCATTAGGGCGCCTAAGGCTCGGCATCGGCGTGTTGGGTGTGCACACCTTGAACTAATGGCAGTAGAGGAGCGCGCTCGATGTCCCCCGGACGACTCCCTGTAAACTCAAAGACGGCCTCAGAGGCCTTCAAGAGAGCCCCAAGACGGCCCCGATACGGCCTTAGAGGGCCCCAAGACAGCCCCAAGACGCGTCTGAGAAGGGGCGATCCGAAAATCTGAGCCTTCCGCCCCAAGAGGCGCCCATGAGGCCCAAGGAGTCCCCTAAGAGGCCCAAAGAGGGCGCCAGAAGTCCCCACGAGGCCCCAAGAGGCCCTCAAGAGGCCCCAAGAGGCCACAAGACCCGAGACACCCCCCCCAAGAATCCCCCACACTGACTCCAGGAGAGACCCTGGAGAGGCCGAGATCATCTGGGCGCCCCGCTGCAGCCAACGCCCCAGCCGAGCTGAGCCTGGCCGAGCCGAGCCTGGCCGAGCTGAGCTCCTCCCCCTCCCCCTCTCGGGTCGGGCGAAAGGGGGGGATAGCAAAGGGGGGGGTTGAGAATCAGCTCACGTAGCTGATTTTCCCCCGGCGCCTCCTGGCGCGGGGAGGCGCCCATGTATCGAGGAATGGGCCCGGCTGCGGGGCCGAAACCAGCTACATGCAGCAGATTTCGTAACCCCCCCTTTCCCAACCCCCCCCTTTCGCCCGACCCGACCCTCCCCCTCCTCCTCCCCGCCGCGGAAGGCCCCGGACTGCCAGCCGGGCACGCCCTGGCCGGGCCGCGCGCGCCACCCGTCATGGGCCGCTTCCGAGGCCCCGGCTCCTCAGCAGCGAGGCGGGCACGCTGCCTTTTCGGCTGGGCTGGAGGACCTCGGCGCCACGGCGGCGCGGGGGCGCGGAGGCGGGGGGGGGAGGCCGAGCAGAGGGAGGGGGCGGGCGAGGGAGGGGGCAGGGCGGGGGGGCAGGGGGTAGGGGACAGGGCGGGAGAGGGACAGGGAGGGACAGGGAGGGATGCGGAGGGATATGGGGACAGGGCGGGAGAGCACGGAGAGGGCGGGAGAGGGAAGGGCAGGGGGGGAGCGGCGGCGGGCTCGGCAGCAGAACAGATCGTCGCGCCGTCGGGAACACTGGTCGTCACGCTGTTGAAAACTGGGGAGGGGCAGCGAGGGGAGAGAGGGGAAGGATGTGGGAGGGCAGGGAGGGGAGGGCGGGGGAAAGGAAGGGTGAGGAGTGGAAGAGAGGAAGGCGGGGAGAAAGGATGGAAGGCCAGGGTAAAGGACGGAGGGTTCCTGCACACGGGAGGGACGGGGACGGGGACATCATGAGCACTCCCCTACAATTATGTCGCCTACCCCAGCGACCCAGCCGCCTTTCCCCCCCGCTCCCTCCCCTCCAACTCCTGTGCTTCTGTCCTTGCCTCGTCGCGTCTGCGGCTGATCCCCTCTGGAACGCTGGTTGCCAGCCGGCCAGTCCTGGAGCCGTGCACGCGCGCATCTGCGCGCGCACGACCATGTTCTCGTGCAGCGCGCGCGTCTGTGCGCGCGTGGGTACATGGGCATGCAGGCAAGCGTGCACGCACACATGGACGGCGCGCGTGGGTGCATGGGCGCGCAGGCATGAGTGGACGCACACATTGACGAAGGCACGCACGCTTGTTCCTCATCCAGCGGTGTACGCCACGACCGCGCAGCGTGCTGACGGGAGGGGTCACCCTGAGGTGCAAAAGAAATTGTGTCGGATGCGCTCAAATCGAAGCCGTGAAATTCTGGGTGAGGGGCAGGCAACGACGGGCGAGACAAAGGCACTGCAGCGGCCAAGCAGGCGCGAAGGCACGCCAAATGAGGGCAGCGCATGTGCGGCGACAAGCGCTGCACCACCAGGAGCGAGCAACGTGGAGCGGGGCGGACAAGCAGGGAGCCCCCCAGGCCCCGACATCTCGCAGCTGCGTCTCGCCAAGGAGGATGAGGAGGAGGAGGAGGAGGAGGAGGAGGAGGAGGAGGAGAAGGAGGAGGAGGAGGACGACGACGAGGAGTAGGAGGTGGAGGACGAGGTGTTCAGGTGTCAAGCGAATAGCGAGGGAGAGCGGCCCGAACTGTGGCCTCCCGCCCAGGGGAGGTGCCGGTGCAGGAGGAGGCACGACCGGGCCAGAGCGCGCCCCTCCTCCTCGTCCTTGTCCTCGTCGTCGTCGTCCTCCTCCTCCTCCTCCTCCTCTCCTCCTCCCTCCCCCCTCCCCCTCCTCCTCCTCCGCCGGTCACCTCCTCCTCCTCTCCCTCCTCCTCCTCCCTCCTCTCCTTCTTCCTCCCCCTCTCCTCCTCTCCTCCTCCTCCTCCTCCTCCTCCTCCTCCTCCTCCTCCTCCTCCTCCTCCTCCGGGAGGGGGAGGGAGGGTTCGAACCCCCCCCCCCTGGCGCCGGCACCTGCGGCGGCGCTGGCGGCGGACGGCAGCGCCGACGGCGGGGACGCAGCGACGATGACCAGAGAGGGCCCAGAGGCCGCATATGGGAAACACAAATCGCCATATCGACTCCTCCCCCCCAAAAGCCGGAAGGCCCTTAAGAAGGTCCAAGAGACGCCCAAGAGGCGCCCAGGAGGCTCTTCACTAATGCTGCGCAGACGCCCCAGGGACCCCTCTGACGAGACCCCAGGAGGCATCACTTAGAACTCTGACCCCAAGCCAAGTCACGGTGGCGGGAAGACCTGAAGGCCTCCCCACCACCACCAAAGCACAACACCACCACCACCACCGCCACCACCACCACCACCACAACATACCACCACCAGAACCACCACCACCATCACAAACCACTACCCCACCACCCTCCACCACAACCCTCACCACCACCACAACCACCACAACCCACTACAACCCGCCACAACCACCACCACCACAAACCACCACACCACCACCACCGCCACCACCACCACCACAAACCACCACCACCACTAAACGACCACACCACCACCACCACCACAACCACAACCGCCACCACCACCACAACCCGCCACCCACCACCACCACCAGTCTACCACCAACACCACCACCAGCACCACCACCAACACGACAGCCCACCACCACCATCACCACAAACCACCACCTCCACCACAACCAGCCACCGCCACCACCACTACAACCACCACCACAACCACCGCCACCACCACCAAACCACTAAACAACCACAACCACCACAGCCACCACCACCACCTTCACAACGACCTACCACCACAGCCACAACAACTCACCACCACTACCACCGCCACCACCACCACTGCAATCCACAACACCACCACCACCACCACCGCCACCACTACCACAACCACTACCACCACCACAAGCCACCACCACAACCACAACAAACCACCACACCACTACTGCCACCACCACAAAGCACCACACAACCACAACCGCCACCACCACAAACCTCCACATCACCACCACCACCAGCGCCACAACCACCACCTTCACCACCACAACGACCTACCACCACCACCACCACCACCACCACCACCACCACCACCACCACCACCGCCACCACCACAAACAACCACACCACAACCACCACCACCACCGCCACCACCACCACCACCACCACCATCTCCACAACTCGCTACCACCACCACCGCCACTACCAACACCAAAAATCACCACCACAACCACCAAAAACCACCACACCACCATCGCCACGACCACCACCGACACCACCACAACCCACCACCACCACAACTACCACCACCACCACCACTACAAGCCACCACGCCACCTCCACCACCACCACCACCACCGCCACCGCCGCCGCCACTACCACCCCCCCAACTCGCTACCACCACCACGACAAACCACCACACCACCATCGCCACCACCACCACCACAAGTCACCACAACCACAAAACCACACAACCACAACCACCACCACCGCAAACCACCACACCACCACCCACCACCACCATAACAACAACTCACCACCATTACCACCACCACCACCACCACACCTCCACCACCACAACGACCTACCACCAAAGCATCCGCCACCACCACAAACCACCACACCACAACCACCACCACCACCGCCGCCACCACACCACCACAACCACCTCCACAACTCACTACCACCACCACCACCGCCACCGCCACCAAAAAACACCACCACAACCACCACGACAAACCACCACACCACCATCGCCACCACCACCACCACCACAACCCACCACGACCACCACTACCACACGCACCAAAAAGGAATACGACGGCCCAGGGTGTTTCCAGAACTCCTCGGGTTAGCTCCCTGGAGCCATCGCGCGGAAGACGGCCTCAGTCCGCTCAGAAACGCGCCAGAGCCGTCCTGGAGCCTATCCCAGACCAGCCTCGACACTGCGCTGGCACAGTGGCGAAACTTGCCGAGGCCAAATGGATGGACAATCGCGCCTCTGCTCGGCAAGCGCTCAGGGCCGGACGTTGTTGCAGATCTCGATGACCTCCGCAGACGCCGGGATCAGACGGGCGGAGCAAGGGATGAAGGTCGAGCGGGAACCTTCCTGGGCCCAGTGGGCATGAGCAAGCTACATGCGCGTTCTGCGGACCTTCCTGGAGTCACTTGTTCTACTCATGCGTCGATGCTGCATCGATCGTCCGCCGACTTGAACTGAACTTGAGTCGGAATCGGGTCGAACTAGAGGCAAACCTGAGTCGAACAAATCCGTTTAGTGAGCCGCTGGAAGGTCCCCAACACGGGCATCTAGTAGAGAGAGAGAGAGAGAGAAAGAGAGAGAGAGAGAGAGAAAAAAAAAAAAGTAGAGAGAGAGAGAGAGAAACAGAAAACAAAAAAGCGACGGAGAGACTGGAACGAGCGAGCGCGGAGCGAGGGAGGCAGAGAGGCAGCTGGAAGGACATGGCCAGGTCTCGAGCCTGGGATAAGCTGGGAGCAGTCGATCCTGCACACGCCTCCACTGACGCTGATCCCCTGACCGAGCTCTCACACAACGGCCGCGGGTGCTCGGGACGGGCTTCCCGCAGACTCTCGGCGAGTCCGCCCACCATCCCTCTGTCCCCTCCCGCTCTTTCCCCTCCCTTCTCCCGCCTCCCCTCCCTCCCCCCAATACCCCCCCTTCCCCACCATGTCCCATTGCTGGGGCGGCGGGGGAAACATGGGCGAGACATGGATCATATCAAGACCCATCGCAAGATTACGCCCTCGCCTGGTTCGTTGCCGCAATGATGTTGGATGATGGGAACAAACTACTGCCAAACATGTAAAAGTACTCTCGACGGGTTACAACCGTGGCCGACCCCGCTCGCGTGGCCCGTCCATGAAGCTGCGACGTCTGACGAGCGCCGTTCTGCTGCTCACGCTGATGATGTCGCGCCTGAACTTCGCTTCGAGCAGCGGCGGCCCCTTGCAAGCGCAGCTCCACGACTTCTTGTAGCTGCTTGTCGCCAACGTCCGTCGGGCGCCGAGCGCTGCGTCCACCGGCTGCTGAACAAGGCAGGCCGACCCGCCGGCCCGCCGCGGCGCGGAGATCACGACGGGAGCCTGACGTCCAGTGCTGCTGCTGCTCAGCGTGCTCGAGCTGCCCACGGCAACGAACAGCACCGACGGGCGCTGTGGAAAAGTGTAGCTTGATCATGTTGGAACGTCTGCTATGACAGGATCGTGTTTCTTTCTTGCTTGGGGCATAGTGGGCATTATAGCCCCCGCCCCCTCCCCCGTTTGACGTGACGCCCCCCTCCCCCCCAGTGCGCTCCGGGCACTGCCGCCGTGCGCACGGCGGGAGGCGTTACATTATACCCCCCCCCATAGCCCCCTCCCCCCACCCCCCTATAATGCCCATTATCGCCGAAAATGAAGAAACGCGCTCCAAACTCAACTCGGAATATGAAGGACGCTACAAAGTTGCACTGGATCGCACGGCCGTTCTGAACATCGCTCGGGCATTGTCGCGCGGTTGCCGTTCGTATTGCCAATTGTCCCCTTTGCAAGCAACTGCTCGCCATCGTTCGGACGTCCATTCCCTGTGTTTGTTTCGGTTTCGTGCGTGGTTTGTTCGCCAAATGATCAAGGATGCTCCTCGATGGTCCTCGCCGAAGGAAAAATGCACACGTCCGAGCGATGCCGAGACGGATGAACTTGAAAACTGGCCCTGACCATTTCCGCGGATTGACTGGGGAGCATGCGGGGTCGGCAACGACCTGCCATGCAGCTCCAAGCTCTGTCGTCAAGCTCGTGGTTCGGCGGTCGGTGGCGGGCCCAACAGTGCCCGAGGAGTAGAGGGGGAGGAGGAGGAGGAGAGGGAGAAGAGGAGGAGGAGGAGGAGGAGAAGAGGAGGAGGAGGAGGAGGAGGAGGAGGAGAGAGGAGGAGGAGAGGAGGAGAGAGAGAAAAGGAGGAGGAGGAGGGGGGGGGGGAGGGGGAGGAGGGAGGAGGAGGAGGAGGAGGAGGAGTAAGGAGGAGGAGGAGAGGAGGGAGGAGGAAGGAGGAGGAGGAGGAGGAGGAGGAGGAGCGGAGGGCGGCAGGGGGAGGGGCGAGGACGACGACGACGTGGGGCGGGAGCAGGAGCAGGCGCCTCAGGAGGCCACGCCCGCCGCTGGTGCTGCCGTTGCTGCGGCTACCGCTCGAGCCCTGCGCTGCCCCTCGCCCCTTGGAGCTGCTCGTCCCTGGTTCGGGGGGTCGAGGTTGTGGGTGGGTGGACAACTCGTCTCGAGCTCGCGGCTGAGAGACCAAAATAGAGCGCCCTTTCCCCCCACTCAACCTACAGTCTTCACTAGGCCAGACTAGTAAGTTAAGTGCGTGCCTGCGTGCGCAAAGCGAGAGGAGGGAGAGGAAAGGGAGGGAGGACGAGGCGGGGCAGACGTGGCCCCTGCCCCTAGCCGTTTTATTTCTCCCCATCCTGCTGTAACCATTCCTCCTTCTCTCGGGGATGGACAGGAACCCCTTTAGCAAGACGTGGTTTGGTGAAAACGACCTCGGGCCCAAACCTGGCGGGCGCAAACCTGGAAAATGACGGCCGCGGCACCCTCTCGAGAACCGAACACGGACAGTTCGCTAATCGACGTGTCAGGGATGGGGTTATGTCCACCCCCGATTCGCCTCCTCAACCTCGGAAGCGCTGCCTTGCGGCTGTCGCCCATAGCACTCTCCAGACGTGACTGCGCCAATGCCACCTCCAAGGGCGCAGCGCAAACATTGCCTTACACCGTCGGCGCGCGACGTGGGGGGATGAACGCCTCGTGGCAGAACAAGTTGTCGAACACCCCGTCGGTACCTTGCCCGGGAGCCGCCAAGGCATGGGCAGGAGAAAGATGAGAAGGAGAGGGGAGAGCGAGGGAGGTGGACGAGGGGCGAGGGGGAGAAGAAACAAAATACAACACTACATCGGCACATCAATTCGGCAACGCTTGGTACGGAGATTCGGGCGACTGGCTCCAAACTCACACTAACGGGTACATCGCATTGCAGTGGTGCCCTGAAGCCCTTCCTGGCATGACCAGGAAGCGCGTGGATCTGACTACCTATACGAATATGGGTCACTTCACGACGCGGCCAGCTAGACTGAAGCGTGTTGTTGTTCCTCGTTGTGAAAAAGAGAACGCTAGACTTACAACGTGATTTATCGACGCCTGGAGCGTATGTAAAGAAGGACGAGGATCGGGAGAGGAAGCGATGCAAGGCGAGGCACCGACGTACATCCACGCGGACGACCCTTTGACGAGAACGGTGCGTGCGCTGGAGCCTGGGATATAGCTTGGTCCCGTGCGAGACGCGTAAACAACAGGTTCATGAGGTGGACGACGGCGACGGCGGAGAACAACGGAGGCTAGGTAAACACAAGTCGGCGTCTAACTACACTCTTGAAGCGGCAGACAAAATTCCAACGCTTTCGTTTCCGCAGGCAGATGCAGAAGGGAAGAGGGAAATGACGAGGAAGACAACGATGATGAACACTAAAAATGAGAAAAGGAGGCACGCCGAACACTGCAGTCTGTAACATGTACTCTCTCAACGGCGAGTTTGAATAATGCCCGCGCACACGTTCGCGAAAGTAACAGAAACAGGGAAACACTATATTCGAGCGCCTGTCATACCTGGGCCAGCACGGGAACGCAAAGAGCGCTGCAGCAACCTTCCCGAGAGGGCTCATGGCACCCTTCGCTCTTGGGAGCCTTGGTGGTAAGAGTTTGTGACGTTATTGCTCGCTCTGGGGAACCTGGTTGGTCCGAGACTTGTACGTTGACGCTCGCTCTTGGGAACCTTGGTGTTAAGAGTTGTGTACGTCACCGTCCGCTCTTGGGAGCCTTGGTGGGAAGAGCTAGGTACGTCACCACTCTCTGCTGGGAGCCCTGGTGTTCAATGATATGTACGTTGCCGCTCGCTCTTGGGAGCCTTGGTGTGACGAGCTGTTTGCGTCACCTTCGCGCTTGGGAGCCTGGGTGTAAAGAGCTTCTTACGTCTCCTCCTCCTCCTCCTCCTCCTCCTGACTCCTCCTGACTCCTCCTGACTCCTCCTCCTCCTCCTCCTCCTCCCGCCTCCCTCCTCTCTCCTCCCTCCTCCTCCTCCTCCTCCTCCTCCTCCTCCTCCACCTCTTCCTCCTCCTCCTCCTTCTCATTCTCTCTCCTCCTGCCTCCACCTCTTCCTCCTCCTCCTCCTCTTTCTCCTCCTCCTCCTACCTCCCTCTCCTCCTCCTCCTCCTCCTCCTCCTCGCCTCCTTGTTGTCCTCACACTTCTCCTCCCTCCTGCTGCTCCTTCTTCCTCCTCCTTCCTCCTCCACCCTCTCCTCCACCTCCTCGCTCCTCCTTCTACTTCTTCCTCCGTCCTCCGCCTCCTCCCCGCCCCTCCCTTTTCCGCCTCCTCCTACCTCTTTCTCCTCTCCTCTCCCTCCTCCTCCACCACACTTGCATCGTCCTCGTTGTTCCTCGCCGCCCTCCTCCCTCCTCGCCTCCTCCTCCTCCTCCTTTCTCTCACCTCCTCACTCCTCTTTCCTCCGGTTTCCTCCTCTACATCTCTCCACTCCTCCTTGGCCTCGTCCTCGATCCTCCCTCCGCCCCGCCTCCCACCTCCTCCTCCTCCCCGCCTCCTCCTCCTCCCCTCCTCCTCCTCCTCTCCTCCTCTCCCTCCTCCTCCTCCTCCTCCTCCTCCTACCACCTCCTCCTCGTCCCTCCCCCTCCGCTCCTCCTCCTCCTCCGTCCTCCTCCACCTCCCTCCTCCCTCCTCCTGCGCCTAATACCTCATCCTCACTTCCCCCTTCTCTCCTCCTCCTCCTACCTCCTCCATCCTCCTCCTCCTCCTCCCCCTCCCTCCTTCCTCGTCCTCCTCCTAGGGCTCTCCTCCTCCTCCTCCTCCTCCTCCTCCTGGCCCGCTTGGGAGCCTCTTGGGGCCCTCTTGAGCTATCTTAGGGCCCTGGGGGCCCTCTTGGCCGGATTGGGGCCCTCTTGGGCCGTCTGGGGGCCATCTGGGGCCGGTCTGGGTCCCTTTGGGGCGCCTCTGGGGCTGTCTTGGGACGATCTTTGGAGCCTCTTGGGCCGTCTTGGGCCCGTCTGGGGGCCCTCTTGGACCGTTTTGGGCAATTTGGGGCGCCTCTGGGGCCGTCTTGGGACGACCTTTGGGGCCTCTTGGGCGTTGGGCCCGTCTGGGGGCCCTCTTAGACCGTTTTGAGCTCCTTTAGGGTGCCTCTGGGGCCGTCTTGGGACGATCTGTGGGGGGGCCTCTTGGGCCGTTTGGGCCCCTTCTGGGACGGAAAAGGGGAGAACTTGAAAAACCTTCAAAAACCCTCAGGACATCAAAGTTCTTGGCATCCTGAGGCCATCTCGGGGGCCCTCTTGAGGGCCTTTGGGGCCGTCTCGAGACTCTCTTGCACCGTCCAGCGGCCATCTCAAGCTCTCTTGGGGCTGTCTTGGGGCCCTCTTGGGCCGTCTTGGGGCCCTTGGGCCGCTTCACCAGAAGACATACGAAGAAACGGACCATGGGAGCGGCCCGGGAGCCGCTCCACTCGAACAAATACAGGGGAAACGGGCCATTAGACCATTGTGTCTGGGCCTCGCCCCTCCCCTGGACCCCTCCCTAGAGGGCTTCGCCCCAACTCAACGTGGGAGCGGCCCGGGAGCCGCTCCACTCGAAAAAAAACAGGGGAAACGGGCCATTAGACCATTGTGTCCGGGCCTCGCCCCTCCCCTGGACCCCTCCCTAGAGGGCTTCGCCCCAACTCAAGGTCATCACTCGTACCTCGCTCTCTCCGTCACCCCATCTCGCGCACCGCGGGGCCCCTAGACCTGGCCCGGCACGGAAAGGGAAAGAGCGCTTCAGAAACAGAAACCGAAATTACTCACACCACCGTTCGTACTGGGAGCCTTGGCGGCGTTGAGAGCTTGTTACGTCACCCCTCGCTCTTGGGAGCCTTGGTGTTCAGAGATTGTTGCGTTGCCGCCCGTTCCTGAGCCTTGGCTGGGCCTTGGTGTCAGGAACTTGTTACGTCACCGGTCTCTGCTGGGAGCCTTGGTCTTATCAGCTTGTTTACGTCACCGTTCGCTCTTGGGAGCCTTGGTGTGAAGAGCTTTTTGCGTTACCGATCGCTCTCTATTTGGCGTCTCTGCGCCTTCTTGGGAGTCCTATTGGAGCCCTTGTCGGGCCCTTTTGGAGGCCTCTTGGGAACCTCTTGGGGGCCTCTTGGGGCTTCTTGGGGGGCTCTGGGGGCCTCCTGGGAGCTTCTTGGGGCGAAAGGCTAGACTTTTCGGCTCGTGGTCCCCCTCTTGGGGCCGTCTTGGGGCCCTCTTGGGCCGTCTTGGGCGCCTCTTGGGCCGTCTTGGCGCCCTCTTGGGCCGTCTTGGCGCCCTCTTGGGAGCCTATTGGGCCGTCTTGGGGCGGTCTTGGGGGCCTCTTGGAGTGTCTTCAACGCAGTGAAAGCCGAAAAGCCTTGTATGCTAAAAATGTACCTTTTCCCATCGGAAATCAATGATTTTCGCCTCCCGGTGGTCTCTTGGGACGCCTCTTGGGGGCCTCTTTGGGCTTCTTGGGGGGCTCTGGGGGCCTCCTGGGAGCGTCTTGGGGCGAAAGGCTAGACTTTTCGGTTCGTGGTGCCCCTCTTGGGGGGGGAACCAGAAAAACATGCAAAAACCCGAGGGAAAACCCGAAAACGGGTATTAACACGCAGGTCCGCACGCTTCGCCCCTCCCCTGGAACCCCTCCCTTTAGGGCTTCGCCCACACCAAAACGTCATCACTCATACCTCGCTCTTTCCGTTACCTGGGCCGGCACGGGAACGGAAAGAGCGCTTCAGCAACCTTCCCGAGATGGCTCATGGTACCCTTCGCTCTTGGGAGCCTCGGTGGTAAGAGCTTGTTGCGTCACCGCTCGTTCTGTGGAGCCTTGCTGGTAAGCGCGTGTTACGTCACCGCTCTCTGTTGGGAGCCTTGCTGGGAAGAGCTTGTTGCGTCACCGCTCTTTGTTCAGAGTACTCGTGCCCAGAGATGCTTACGTTGCCGCTCGCTCTTGGGAGCCTTGGTGGTAAGAGCTTGTTGCGTCACCGCTCGCTCTTGGGAACCTTGCTGGTAAGCGCGTGCTAAGTCACCGCTCGCAGTTGGGAGCTTTGCTTCTCCTCCTCCTCCTCCTCCTCCTCCTCCTCCTCCTCCCTCGTCCTCGTCCACTTCCTCCACATCCATGTTCTCCTCTTCTTCCTCCACCTCCTCCTCTTTCTCCTCCTCCTCCTCCTCCTCCTCCACCTCCTCCTCCTCCTCCTTCTACCTCCCTTCCTCCGCCTCATCCTCCTCCTGGTTCTCCTCCTCCTCCTTTGGTCTGGTCCTCTCGTTACTCCTCCTCCTCCTCCTCCTCCTCCTCCTCCTCGCCTACCTCTGCTCCTCCTCCTCCTCCTCCTCCTCCTCCTCACGCTCCTCCTCATCCTCCGCCGATCCGCCTCTCATAGTATATTGCTAGTTTTAGAAAAATTGGTATTCGTACTATCATCATTGATTAGTATCAATCACTATTACTAGGAGCCATCCTCCTCCCTCCTCTCTCCTCTGCCTCCTCCTCCTCCTGCCTCCCTCTTTCCCTCCTCCTCCTCCCCCCCTCATGCCTCCTCCCCCTCTCCTCCTCCTCCTCCTCCTCCTTCATCCTCCTCCTCCTCCTCCACCTCCCCTCCAACTCTCCTCCTCCTCCCTCTCCCCCTCCCCCTTCTCCTCCTCTTTCCGCTCCTTTCCTCTTTCCGCCTCCTTCCTCCTCCGCCTTCCTTATACATACACGGCTGCAGGGAGAGCCACAATCCTCCTCATACCTCCTCCGCCCCTACCTCCTCCTCCTCCTCCTCATCTCTCTCCTCCTCCTCCTCCTCCTCCTCCTCCTCATCCCCCTCCTCCTGGGGCCTGGGAGCCCTTGGGGCTCCCTTGGGGCCGTCTGGGGGCCCTCTTGGGCCGTCTGGGGGCCCTCTTGGACCGTTTTCGGCCCCTTTGAGGAGCCTCAGGGGTCGTCATGGGACGATCTTTTGGCCCTCTTGGGCCGTCTTGGGCCCGTCTGGGGGCCCTCTTGGACCATTTTGGGCCCCAAGGCCCTTTGGGGCGCCTCTGGGGCCGTTTGGGGAGGATCTTTGGGGCCTCTTGGGCCGTCTGGGGCCCTTTTGGGACTGAAAAGGGGAGAACCATATTCCGCAAAACCTGCGAAAACCCTATGGGAATCACTGCTGTTGGCCTCCTGAGGCTCTCACGAAAGCCCTCTTGAGGGCCTCTGGAACCGTCTCGAGACTCTCTTGGACCGTCTGGAGGCCATCTGAAACTCTCTTGCGACCGTCTTGGGGCCCTCTGAAGCCGGTTTGGGGCCCTCTTGGGCCGTCTTGGGGCCCTCTGGCCGGTTCACCCGAAAAACAACAAGAAACAAGCCATGGGAGCCGCCTGGGGGCCGCTTCACTCGAAAAAAACCGAAGCGCGAGGGCAACTCGACTTTTGTTTTCCCGCTGGCCCCCTCCCCCAGACCCCTCCCTATAAGGGCTTCGCCCCGTGCGAAACGTCTCTCGCTCGTACCTCGCTCTTTCCGTCATCCCAATAATTCTCGAACACATGTTCGTACTACTTCGAATCATCAGACGCTTCCCGGTAGGATTATTTCTGGCCATCATAAGATCCCTTGGCTGATGCTCCTCGTCCGACTGGTCCTCCTGTAGTACTACTGTTATCCCTTATTTTCCTCCTCTTTCTCCTCCTCCTCCTCCACCTCTTCCTCATCCCTCCTCCGCGCCCTGCGTTTCCAAATCCTCCTTGTCCTCCTCCGCCTCCACCCCTCTTCCTTGCATGCAGCATAACTCATCCCTGTCGCACCCTGAGACGGGTCGGCAGGGCGGGTTGGGCGTTTCGCCCAAGTTGTCCTCCCCGCTTATGCTGCGGAAGCTCTAAAAAACGGTGCCACGCATGGAAGGCGGGTCGTTTTCAAAATGCGGCTCTCGCCTCAAAGCCGCGCATCTTCGTTGTTAAGACTTTGCCGGGCCTCCGTGGGTGGACGTCGGGCCATTTGCAAAATGCGGGGCTCTCGCCTTAGCACCGCGCTCACGCTTTTTACAAGCTTGCACAAGGGCTCCCAACTTCGCGCTTCGCGCTGCGCGAAGCGCGAAGTGCGAATAGCTTCGCGCTCTCGCGCCGCCTCCCAGGGGGGAAGAGGAGGATGAGGAGGAATCGGAGCCGAACCGCGAAGCGCGAAGCGCGAATAACTTCGCGCCCTCGAGGGCGCCCTTGTTGCAATTGTTTCCCGGATGGACGACGGTTCCCTTTTTCACCATGCGGTTATCGCCTCGGCGCCGCGCACACTCTCCTTTAGAGACGCGCAGAAATTTCACGGATGGCGGGCGGCTCAATTTCACAACGCGATTCTCACCTCAGCGCCGCGCAACTTCTGCTTAACAGTCTACGGCAGGTTCAAGGATTCCCATGGTTAATGTTACACAGCTTCTTATGTTTTTGCTGGCACGAATTAAGATTGCCCAACCGCCACAGTCACAGCGATTCGCGGTGTGGACGCCCCCGCCATGTCATTCCACCGCGATTTCGTTGATTCGCGGCGTTGTTGAACTCCAAGGATCGGTGCGCTGGCGCGGTACAGAATTATTCAAACAGCTGTGTTCCGCCACGCCTTTTCCAGATGGAAGAAATCGTTGTGCGAACCTACGCGGGGGGAGCTTGGAAGGACGGTTTATTGCAACATCGTTGATGCAATTTGGGTGTGCGCTGGTCCTCCTCCTCCTCCGCCGTTTCCTTCTCGTCCTGTTCCGCCCCCCCCCCATCTGCCGCCTCCCGCTCGGGGGGTCAGCCGCGCCGTGTAAACGGGGGCGCGGCGCGCCCATCACAATGACGTCGCCCTCGTAAGCCGACACGCAATGCACCGCCGAACCCTTTTCGATCACCTGGCGCGCGGATCCTCCTCGTCGTCGTCGTCGTCCTCCTCCTCCTCCTCCTCCTCCTCCTCCTCCTCCTCCTCCTCCTCCTCTTCCTCCTCAACCTCCTCCTCCTCCACCTCGCGATCGCCGCCGTCGTCATCAGCCCCCGCCCCGGCGCAAGCGATCGGTTCTCGCGCGGAGGCCGCGGAGCGGACGGGGCCCGGGGCGGGCGGGCCGCCGAGCGCGCGCGCGCGGGCCGAGCGGCGCCGCCTAAAGGAAAAAGGTCTCCTGGGCGCCGATGGGGCACTTGCGGCGCGGGTTGCCCGTGCGGAGGAAGAATGAAGGGGCCCTGGGACACACAAATAAATACACACAAATAAAAATATTCCACATATTTTCGTATATTTTCTGGGTTTTTGTCTTCCCCACCACTTCCCATATTTTCCCATATTTTCTGGGAATCGACGATTAATTGTGTCTGTGTGTTTTTTCCCCTCCTGAAAGAAGGAGGAGAGAGGGCGGGGGGGCGAGAAGCTGCAGGGGACCGCGAAGCGCAACGAGGGATCCCCCCCGCCCCCGCGCAAGCGAGGGGTTCTCGCGCGACGGCCGCGGCCGGCGCGCGCCGAGGCGGGGCGCGGGGCGGCCGGGGCGCCGAGCGCGCGCGCGGGCCGAGCGGCGCCGCCCATGAGAAGAACATCTCTCGGGCGCCAAGGGGCGCCTGCAGCCGTGCCCGGGCTCAAAGCTCACGTGCGGTGACTATGTTCTGGCGGGCGCCGACCAAACGCCAAACGGAAGGGCCGACGCCAAAGATAGGAACGACCAGGCGGTCGCCGGCGGCAGCGAGGCACGCGGAGCGCGCGAGCAGAAGCAGGAAGGGCGAGCAGAACAGACGAGGCGGCGGCGGCCCGGAGGCGGCGCTGGGCGCTGGATGCCCGGCGCCAGCGGTCGCGCCCGAAGACGCGAGGCGCGCCCTCCGTGGCCACTTGAAACTCCGTCGCCCCCGAACCTCGCATGCAGGGGGGCGCGAGGTTCAGCGCGCGGGCCGCTTCGGACAGCGGGGCGCCCGTCGCCGAAAGCAAATGACTCCAACGTGCGCGGGGGCCGCTCCGAAGGCGAGAACGGATTGGAGGAGCCAATTCCAAGAGCCCCGCCGACGACGTATCGGGGGTCTTCGGCGCCCTTATGGCGAGGTGGGTCTTCGGCGCCCTTATGGCGAGGAAAGCGCCGCCGCTGGCCCCTGGGCGATCGCCGGGCAGCGAGAGGTCGCGACGGCGGGCGACCAACCGTGCGCCGTGAAGGGATACGGCAAAGCACATCAGCAGCAGCGCGGCCATCAGGAGCCAGTCCCGGAGCAGACTGAGGCCCGCCATGGCCCGAAGGAGGGCGCGGGGCAGCGGCGGGCGGGCGGGCTCGGAGAGTTCCCGCTGCCTGGCCAAATCCCGCCCAGGCCCCGCGAATGGCCCTTTGAGAGAGGGGGGCGACGTCCTCTGCCTTTTTATTGCGGGGCCAGCAACGGGGACGACGGCGCCCACAGCGAGCAGCTCGTCGGCGCCTTCCCCCCGCGGGGCGCACGCCGCCCGCTTGAAATAAGCGGCGGTGAGACTGGGGGGCGCGGTGGAGGCAGCGCAGCCGGGGTGAACGCTGCGCCTCGTCGGCCGCGCGGCAGGCACAAGTCGTCCACGGCCATGCCCTGCTCGAACTTGCGGCTCTGACTCCGCTACCCGTTGGCCACCACCGAGGCGAGGTAACCGCGTTCCTTTGGCGTGAGCCTGAGCCTTGACTGCTTGCCGGCACCCATGGGATTCAGCCCATGGTCCATCCGCGCCACAGCGCCATGCTCCTCGCGTGCCGACTCTAACGCCAGCACAGCGGCCCTGGGCACTCCGCCAGCCCTCGGCACACCGACGAGAGGTCGTCGAGCACGAGTATCCAGCTCACCTCGCTGAGGCCCAGCTCCGCCGCGAATCTGGGACCCCAACTTCCCCGCGACCTCCTCCGAAGCGGACGCGGTCCAGCTGAGCCTGCCTTTCGTGCGCATTTCCTCCGAAGGCGGCCTCGCGCTCGACGATTCGGCTGCCTGCTCTCCACGCGACAGCGACGACCTCTGAGCAGCGGGCTCTGACGACAGGTCAGAGAAGACCGCGGCCGCCAGCGGCGGCGCTGGCGCCGCGGCAGCGGCCCTGCGGGCGGCAGCTGCAGCGCGCCTGCCAGGCACTGCGCTGAACCCCTCCTCCGCCTCGATCATGGAGCGCGCATGCCGCGCCACCTGCTCCTCCCACTCCTGCGCGTCGGACTGGGCCAGCCTCCGCATGTTGGCGTGGTAGCTGGCACGAATGCGGCGCCGTGCTGCCCGCGCCGCCAAGCAGAAGTCCAGCGTCATCCTGAGCCTGACCACGTCCATGTTGTCGATGCCGGTTGACAAGCGGCGCCCACGTACCATGCATCAGCAGGTCGGCCACGTAGGACGCGCACAAGCGCATCCAGTGCGCTCTGTCTCTGGCTTCGTCGGGCACAAATATGTCATGGGGCCAGGACATGGCGCGGGCCCTTAGCCTCCTCTCGTGCGTCATGCGCGCCGCCGCGGCAGCTCGCCGCGCAGGGCCCTGGTCCTTGGCCCCGTGACTTGCAGCTGTGTCCCGAAGACGCCGTTGCGGCTGACGGCGCCAGCGGTGGCCATCTTAATCAAGGGCTCGAAGACGCCGCCGTTGGCCAGATGCTCGAGCCCATTGCCCTTGCTGACCTCGCGTCACTGCCATGCCTGCACCGCGCGCAGCAGGAGACGCCTGACGACCCATGGGGCCAGCTCGAAAACATTGATGTCGACCTCTTCGCGCGTGCGCCAGGCGGCGGCGTTGACCGCCTGCCAACCGACCCGCTCGAGGGTGAGCCGCACCGCGCTGAAGGGCCCACGCACCTGGCTCCAGCTCTTGGCCTGGCCGCAAGTCACGCCGTAGTCGACGATGCGCCGGGGGTTCCAGCTTTCCCAGGCCGCCCGCAGCAGCAACATGGCGGGCAGGAGGGCGGCTCTGATCATCGGGTCGAGCATGGGCGGGCGCCAGCATCATGGCGAGCGCGCGCGACCGTCCAGCCACGCTGGGCGCGACCGCCTTGAACGACTCCGTCCGCGGCGCGCCCAGCTCCATGGTGGCGCAGCCAATGACGGTGACGCCGTAGGTCACGCTGGGCTCGACGCCGGCCCTGGCGACCTTGCGCGCAGCCATCTTGCGCCCTGCCCCTGTCTTGAGGATCGCCACGCGGGGTTGACGCAGCCCTGCCTGCACCAGCTTCTCCTGGCGCACCTTGCGCACGATTCGCCTGCCGCACGAGAAGTCAACGCCCAATCTGCGCTCGCACTTGACCGAGATCACGCCGAGCGGCCGGCGCAGACGGGCAGCCAGGCCACGGCGAGCAGCTGGGAGGTTCGCCAACGCCCTTGACTTCTTGACCGCCACGTCGAGGCCCACGTCCATGAATAGCGTCTTGAGCTTAAGGCTGCCTCGGCCACTTCCTTCGTCACCCGCGCGAGCCCCCCAACTCGATGGAGCATGAGGTCGTCCACGATCACCGCCAGCGACGCGGCCGGGTGCTGGATGACCAGGCGGTCGAGCGGCCCGGTCAGGATGAGCTTCAGCAGCGAAGTCGCGAAGCCGTCACCAGGCAGGATGGACTGCTTCGCCTCGATCAAGCTCGAGGCAGCGCTGCCCATGCAGAGGGCCCTCGGCGCGCAGTATAGCTCCAGCGTCAGCTTGAGCTGCCGCAGCAGGAAGCCAGCGGCGATGGCAGCGTCGAGCAGTCAGTGGTGCCGCACCTGCTCGAACGCCTTTAGCAGGTCGAGCAGGGCGGCGACCGCCACCCAGGACTCGGCGTCGCCGCTGTCAGCGCCCCGCCGCGTGGCCCATTCTCCGATCGCAGCTAGATGCCATACGGCCCGCTCGCAGCTGCGGCCAGCAGTCGCCCGCCAGCATGGGCGATCGTTTGCCTCCTCCCACTTGCGGGCGAGGCCGCGCCGCAGTTGCGCTTGCACCCTCGCGAGCACCATGATGACGGCGATGGGCCCCGCTCCGCCCAGCCGCTTTTGGATGAAGCCGATCTTGGCGGTCATGAGGAGCCATGCGGCGTCGCGCTCGATCGCCATGGGGATGTCGATGAGGACCTCCAGCGCCTCGTCGCATAGCTCATCAAGCTGACGGCGCAGAAGGACATGCCCGCGGTGGCCCTGAGGGGGCGCAGAGCGTAGCGCAGCTCCTGGACTGAGGGCCTCGGCGGCCTCTCGCCCAGGTCCGAGGGCCAGTGCGAGCGCATGTGCTCACAGGATGTCCTCCACCAGCGACTCCACTCTACTTCGAGCTGCGTCGCCTGCTGCCCGAGGTCCACGGGCTCGAACAGCTGTCTCCCGTCGCCGCGGCCGTCGTCGCGCTCAGCTTCGCCGATGGGGCTCGTGTCGAACCCGATGGGCAGACGGGGTACTGCGTGGAGACCGCCACCTCCACCTTCGGCCTGCTTCTCGACCCACAGCTGGAACTGGGCAGTCCGCTGCGCCATGCCCCGCTCCGCCATCTCGAGCGCGACCGCGCGCGCCCGCGCGCAGCTGCTGCAGCACGACAGGGCCCAGCAGGGACAGACGCAAGTTGCGAAGCAGCATCCACCAAGCCACGGCTCGGGGCAACACCTGAGGGCAGGACAGAACCTCGCCGTTATCAGGTGTCGGCCCCACGGTGGCTGGGGCTCTTTCTAGCAGTCTGCGCACGCCTCGAAGAGCGTCGAGACGCGCGCATGGCTGCTCCACGGCGGCGATGTCGAGTAGCACGCTGGCCACGCGGCGCATCCAGGCCACCCCTGCAGAAACTCGGGGCCAGCGGGCACCGGCCACCAGAAGCCGACGGTGCCGCCGCGGCTGTGCAGGGCGAGCTCGCCCCCTGTGCTTGACCCTGTCCTCCCCCGCCTGGTAGATGTCGATCCACTCAGCCTCGGCGGCGTCGAGGAACCGCTGCCAGGCAGCGGTGAGGTGGCCCTTGATGCTGCTGTCGCGCTCGACCTTGTCCAGCGCCCTCTCCTGCCCGCCAGCAAGCAAGCCCTGCAGTTCCTGGCTGGTCTCGCTCCAACGCTCGCCGCACGCATGGCGAACGCAGCCTGCGGGACGCTGGACAGGGAAGGGCGCGGGCACCTGCGCGACCCTGGCCCATGGCCTTCGGCGCGAAGCCTCCAGCTCCAAGATGACGGGCTTGCGCCGGTAGACTGGTGACCCGCTGACCACTCGGATGTTGGTCACCTTGAGCCCTCGCGAGACGATGAACATATCGATCGTCCTCTTCGACTGCGCGCAGGCGGGCTCCAAAGTGTCCGCGACGACGGCATCGAATAGCCTCAGCGCGCCCGACACCAGCCCCTGCCTGGTGCAATAGAGGTAACCCCCGGCCACGTACGGGCGACCGTGCCCCCGCAACCTGCAGGCCCCGTCTTTCAGCGCCTGGTAGTTGAACGCGTTGACGCCAACGCCTGACTGCAGGTAGATATTGGCCAGCACGATGCCACCGCGCATTGGCCCTGAGTGATGTAGCACATGCACGCGCCCCTTACGTAGGACTGGCGGGCGTGACCCCAGCATGGCGGTAAGCCCAGGCTCGCTGCGTACGCACCTGAGCAGCCCCCCGGTCGCCAGCCCCCCATCTAGCGACAGCACCGCGGCTGCGCCGCAAGCACGAAGTCCCCTACGACGAAGCTCCCCTCTCAGCGTCCGTCGTGCGTGCTTGTCCTAGCCGAGTTCTTGAAAAAAGATGACGTCGCAGCCAACCAGCTCCTCGATGAGACACCTGTCGGCATTCGAATATGAATTCATATTCAGCGACGCGATGCTCCAGGACTGGGCACGGCTACCCCGACCGCGGCGTCTTGGCCTCGATCGCGGCCTCGTGCTTCTGCTTGAGGTGGGCCTGGAACTCCTCGGCGAGCTTCCGCTTCTCGGGGCCGGGGCCGACGAAATCCGAGATGGCGGCCTGGAACGCGTCGCCCGTGGCAAACTCCAGCGGGCCCCCTTCGAGGTCCATGTCGAAGCCTTCGCCCGCGGCGACGCCCGCAGCGGCAACCCCAGCGGCACCCCCGCAGCCGCTTGCTGGGGCGCCCGCGGCGGCACCGCCCGCTGCGACTGGCTCAGGAGAATGAGCTGCCAATGTTCCTGCCAGCAGCGCGCGGAGGGGGCCCAGCAGGTCCTCGCTGAGCTGAAGGTTGGGGTTCTCCAGGGACGCATCCACGACGCCCTCGAGCTTCTTCGCGTGGCCGATGAGTTCGCCAACGTCGCACTTGGGCGCGGCACCATGCTTGGGCACGATGTCGTTGGCGAGCGCGGCCTTCGCCCTGGAGACAGCGGCGCCCAGCTCGACCTGTAGCTGCGCGACCTTCTCCTCCTGCGGGAAAGAAGCCTGGAGCGCCTCAGCAGCCAGCTTCTGCTTCTTCTCGTAATCCATCTTGGCTTGCTGTAGCCGCTTGCAAGCTTCGTCCGCGGCCACCTGCGCAGACTTGACCGTCTTGACCTCCGAGAGCGTGCCCAGCTGCTGCTGGAGCAGGAGGCCCGACTGCCGCAGGCTGTGCTTGTCGCTGGCGGCCAGCGTGACGGACAGCAGCTCGAAGTCGGCATCGCTGAGTGCCAGCAAGCGGTCGCGGGCCCCGGGCGAGAGCTTGGGCGGCTGCGCCCCTGAGCCCCCCCCATCTCCACGCTTCGGCTTCTGCGCGATGTGCCACGGGCGGGAGTCGCCAGCACCGCCCGCCCAAACTCCGCGCGGTGGAGGAGGACGATCACAAGGAGCAAACACACCGCGATTGGTCGGCCGACAGCCCGTGCACCCCGCCTGCCGACACTTCGCGCACCAGCCCAGGTTCTTGTAGTGGCAGCGGTGGCATCGCCAGCTTGTCCCCTGAGCTGACTCACGCGCTGCACCGGCGCCAGAACCGCCGCCGCAGCCGAGAGGAGGAGGAGGAACCATGCCGCGCGAACGGCTCGCCACAACTGTGGCGGGCTCCTCATCTGGGGCTGACCAGGCGGAGACAATGGAAGACTGCCGCGGATTTGCGGTATCTTTGCAGGCACGGAGGCGCGGAGCCCCCAAAGTGCAGGCATCTTGAGCCAAAATGGCTACGGACGCAGAACAGGAGGAGGAGGAGGAGGAGAAGGAGGAGGAGGAGGGGGACGAAGAGGAGGAGGGGGAGGGGGAGGGGGAGGATGATGAGAAGGAGGAGGAGGAGGAGGAGGAGGAGGAGGAGGAGGAGGAGGAGGAGGAGGAGAGACGACTCGACGACGACGACGACGACGACAACGACGACGACGACGACGACGACGAAGGCTGGGCTGATCCAGTGAAGGAACAATCCTGCTCGGGACGAATGGAATTCAGAAGCCATGCCAGCCGTGGAGACAGGACGGTTCCAATCGGGTGCGGGTGGTGATGAGCGGGTGGCGCAGCTAGTCTCAGCAACCACGGCATTCGACATGACAAAACAACTGATGGTGACATAAACCGTGACGGGACCGTTTCACCGCTTTCCAGCCCCCACCTGGCACACGAAGGTGGCTTTCGGCATTCAGGGTTATCGTCCCTGCCTCCTTCCTCCCCGAGGAAACAAATACATCAGACCAACTACTCCTGGTGCGCAGCCCCAGGAGCGCTCCCCGGAGCCATCTTGGAACCCTAGATCGCCATCGCGGGCAAATTCATGGCGTTAGCGGCGGCCCTAGCCGAAACGGGGTTCATAGTCGCGGTGGGCGGTACGCTCATCAGGCGCGATATGGATGTCACCTGCGACAGTAGCAAAGGCATTCTCATCAGCTTCGCGATTGTGAAGTGCGGTTGTGAAGAGGGGCGTGCTGCCCAAGCTTCAACCTGCATGCTGGGAGGGTAGCACCATGAAAACTACGCTTCGGACTGCGGCTACGAGCGAATGGACACACATGGACGCAGCGTAATGGACGCACGCATCTTCGACACCAGGCAGCCGAGCGCCGAGCAATGGCGCGCCCTCCTGACTCTAGTGCCTCTCCTGCGCGGCGCTCAAAAAGGAACGGCCGGGATCTCTGGAGGCGGGAAGGCGGCAATCGTCGGGACATCCCCGAGCCATTGGCATCTGGGTCAGGTGGGCACCGAGACGGAGCCGAAACTCACCGAGCAGAGCGGCAGAACCGCCGAGGACAGCGCGAAGACCGTGGGGGAGGAGTCCCACTCGCCTCCCGTCCCTCGTCCAGGGGCTAGGAGCCGTCGCGGCGCATGTCTTTGCCGCTCTCTGCTTGGGCGAAGGTGACGTGGCGCGTTGGGCGCGAGAAGAATCGTATGCTCGCGATGAGGACCCTGCCGAAACTTATTGTGAAGTCCTCTGCAAGACTGAGGGCTTGTCAATTTCCGCCAAGATCACGAGCACCAGAAATCAAGGTGACCGGCGACTGGGGGCGAGGAGAGGAAGAATAGGAAGAGGAGGAGGAAGAGGAGGAGGAGGAGCAGGAGGAGGGGGAGGGGGAGGAGGAGGAGGAGGAGGAGGAGGATGAGGGGAGGGAGGGGGGGGCCCAGCCGGGGGCTCGAGGCGCAGGGAGAGCGGGGGGCGGCTGGGCCCGGAGAGAGTGGCTGAGGAGGGGAGGGAGCCCCGCCGGGGGCTCCAGAAGCGGGGCTGGGCAGGCCTCCAGGGTGATGTCATCATGGAAGGCGGGGTCGATATCCTCGCGTGAGGCGCGAGCCCAGAAATCGCAAGTCGTCCTTGTCATCCTCTTCTCCTTCTCCGCCTCCTCGCCCTCCTACTTCTCCTTCTCCTCCTCCTCCTCCTCCTCCAACTCGTCCTCCTTCTCCTCCTCCTCCTCCTCCTCCTCCTCCTACTCCTCAACCTTGGATTCCAGAGCCTGCCGAGCCCGCGTGCCGTGCGGGCGGGGACCCCCCTGTGGGTGGTGTCCGACAGGGGGGTCCCCTCTGGGGAGCTGGCCTCGGTGGCCAGCCCAGGCTCCTCCACGTTCCTGCGGGCCTCGGAAGCCCCCGAGCCCCCGTTTGAGCTTTTCCGTGGCCACCACTTGGTCACCGAGGGCCCGTATATTTTTGTTTGCGATGCGGTGGATCAGCATCCACTCGCCAGTCGCCCACGCTGCTGAGCGACTGCCTGGGTCAAGTGACCTGGGCCTCTAGCCGTATCCGAATGACGGCCCTCGCTAATTTCCAGGGCTCCCGCCACCCCCGTACGGGACTCCCTATCGGCGGGCACGGACCGCCAGGGCCCAGGAGATAGCCATATAGTGTAGTTCGTGGCTCTCTTGGGGGCTTGGCCTAGCCATGCCCCTCAACGGAGTCATCAAAGCTGTCCGATCCTCCTCCTCCTCCTCCTCCTCCTCCTCCGCCTCCGCCTCCGCCTCCACCTTCTCCTCCGCCCTCAGAAGCCCTCCTCCGCCCTCCGCCCTCCTCCTCCTCCTCCTCCTCCTCCTCCTCGTCCTCCTCCTCCTCCTCCTCCTCCTCCCTCCGCCCTCTTCCTCCTCCGCCCTCCTCCCTCCTCCGCCCTCCTCCGCCTCTCCGCCCCCTCCTCCCTCCTCCTCCTCTCCTCCTCCTCTTCTTCTCCTCCTCCTCTCCTTCGCCCCTCCCTCCTCCTCCTCCTCCTCCTCCTCCTCCTCCTCCTCCTCCCTCCTACCTCCTCCCTCCTCCCTCATCTTCCTCCCTCCCTCTCCCCCTTCCTCCCCCTTCCTCCCTCATCCCTCCTCAGCATCTACGGAGCGCAGTGTGTGTGTGTGTGGGGGATGCAGCGCATGGGGTGGGACCCTGTAGGGTGGGGCCGCGCGGGGTGGGAGAAACCAGCGCTGGTTTGTGGCACCGCGTGGATCGCTCAGCCTTAAACGATCGGCTCTTCGATCGCCAGACCGTTCCATACCAACCGATCCTGCACCTCTGGTCGAGTGCAGCCGCCGCCACGTCGACACCACACGCGCCCACGGTATGTGGTGAGGGCCCCTCGGGTGGAACCCCATCGAGCGGGACCTCACCAGCTGGGATCGTCTCGAGCGGGGAACCTGCCGGGTGTGACCCTGCCGGGCGTGACCATCTCGGGTGAGGCCCGACTGGGTGAGAGCCCATCGGGTGGGTCTGTACCGGGTGGGGCCCTACTGGGTGGGACCCCACGGGAGTCACAGTACAATCTGGGGCCCTGTTTGGTGAGGCCCTGTGAGAGCCTATCAAACGGGACCCAATCGAGTGGGATCATGTTGGAAGGGAATCGATGGGACCCTGTCGGGTGGGACACTACTGGGCGCCTGACGGGAAGAACCTTGCCAGTCGATTTCAATCCGGTAGGACCCTGTTGGGTGGCTCCCATCGGGTGGGACCCTATCGGATGGGAGCATGTCGGGTGGAACATTATCAGGTGGGCAAATGGGACCTTGTAGGATGGGAATTGCGGGACCCAATCATCTGAACACGAGCACGGGAACAAGGGTGGGCCGTAACCGCGAATGGCCAGGAGCAAAGCAACTTCAACCGACCTGCTATCATCTGACCACACATGGGGAGATACGGCAAGGTGCCGTTCGTCTGAACGCATATCTCTGTGGTGGCAAACTCCCGTGACTTCGAATGCGGCAATCCGTCTGGATCCGCTCAGGAACGTCATTCTGGACACCGCAAAGCCATCGGTGTGGCCCTTCCACTGGCAGCTGCATCTGGAGCAGAAGGGGTGGCATATCGACTCGTCGTCGTCCCTCTCCTCGTCTTCCTCGATCCGGCGGAGGGGCAGAAAGGCGGCGATCTCGGCTCCGCGCCGATGCGAGCGATCTGCAACGGCGTCTGCACATGACCTGCGACGCGCGACGCTGCGGAGCGAGATTGTACGGGGCCGCGGGGCATCACTGCTGGATCACCACTCCTTGCGGGGATCGCTTCCACCCCAGGAAGTTCCAAGACGCTGAGCCATGTTGGCATGTGCATTTCCTTCGGGCCTCCTGGCTGCTCAGAACGTTGTGACGAGGCAACGACTTCATGCTCGATGTGAGAATCCAACTGCACTAGCTTGATGCACCATTGTACCGTTGGGTATTGGGTTGGCCAATAAGAAGCAAAACGAAAACCATATTGCGGGCGACAAAGCACTCGTTTTAGCCACTGGGCACTTCCCGGCCCTGCGCCAAACGCAGCAAGCATGTGAGGATCGCACGTGGGCGCTCGTCACATATGGTATGATGAATGTGTCTGGTAAGCTGCGCCCAACCTCGCTCCTGACCAGCCAGAGATCACCTTCCCCTCCGCCTGCCTTCAGTCACCTCTGCAGTTCCCTCCTCCACCTCCTCGATTTCTCTCTGCTCGCATCCCTTCTCCCACCTTTCGCTACTCCCCATTCTTCCCTTCCACTACCCCTTTTCTCCTGACCATCCTCTTCCTCACCATGCCTGTATTCCCCGTCTTCGTCCCCATCTTAGTCGGCCTGTTCGGCCCGCCCGAATTTTCGATTGTGGGGCAGTGACTTTTGATCGGGCGAACGCGACACCAAAAACAAACCACCACATGACAGCAAAAGCCCTCGAACGAGGAAAACTCCGGACGTTGGATCCGGAACCCCTGCAGAACGCCCCCCAAACACTACGGAGCGAAACCCAAGCGCGCGCAAATTACTAGGATCCCAGTAGACGCATTCGTTGGGTAGACCCAACCCAGCCTTCGAACCTCCCTCCTCCAATGCACGACGACCTCATGAAAATGCAAAGCGAACGCCTGAATAACGCACGGTTGTCCTAATATTGAAAACTCCCATCATTCTCACGTTTACGACTGTTTCTCGGCCGCACCGACTTTTCTGGCTAAGGGCAGCAGCCGCTGGTCGGGCGAACGCTACGCCAAACAAAACAACCCATCACATGATTACAAGACCCGCCGAACGAGGAAACTTACGGACTGGACGCAGAAGTAGAAAACTCCTGCTGGAAGTCCCCCACACATTGGGGAGAGCAAATAGTACCGATACCGCTACTCCCCGGACCTCTCCCGGGGTGCGTTCTGACCAGGATTTCGAGGCAAATCCAGCGGTGGCGACGAGGGCCGTCCAGGAGGCCCAAAAATGGGAAAACGAGCGAAGGGTAGAGGTATGGGTACCTTTTCCAGGGGCGAAAACCGAGCGCCCGCGCGAAGCGACGAGCCCTGAAAACGCTCTTCAGCCTTCGAACCTCACTCTGCCAATATCTGCCGATACACAACGACCACCTGATAATTCGGCACGACCACCTGAATAACACGCGCCTGTCTGATGTTTAAAACATCCGCCGGCCCCCTTGCGGGGCCACCAGGCTGTAGGCTGGGAATGTGCTGCTCCCTGTACCATTTGCAGCTTCCAGTTTCCACTGTTACAGTTCTGCTTCTTGCTGCTTACTGTTCCTTGTTGATGATCGCGCGAGGGGGGAGCCCAAACCAGCAGAACTACCGCGCCCATCCGCAGGGTCAGGGTCCAAAGACACAAGGGATTTGCCAGGTTTTTGAACTTCAGTGGGACCCCTCACGCAGATCCGCAGGGACAGGGTAAAAAAACACAAGAATTCGCTACATTTTTGAACTTCAGTTGCACCCCTCACGCAGATCGGCGGGGTCAGGGTCCAAAGACACAGGGGATGTGCCACGTTTCTGAAATTTGGCGGCACCCCTCACGCAGATCGGCGGGGTCAGGGTCCAGAAACATAAAAGATGTGCCACATTTCTGAAATTCGGCGGCACCCCTCACGCAAATCGGCGGGGTCAGGGTTCAAAAACACAAGTGATTTGCCACATTTCTGAGATTCAGTGGCACCGCTCACGCAGATCGGCGGGGTCAGTCAGGGTCCAAAAACACTGGGGATTTGCAACATTCCTGAAATTCGGCGGCACCCCTCACGCAGATCGGCGGGGGCAGGGTTGAAAAACAAACAGGTCCCGACACTGCTTCACGGCGGCGCCCAGACCTCATGATTTAGCTTTTGCATCTCCCATTATCCGAGACAGGGGTCCGGCGGCATGGGGCTAAGCCCTTACGGATAAAATAAAACAATAAAGATACACGTAAAACCTTTCCCCAATAGCTTCTGGCCACCCCGAGTTTTCAACTCCAGGGCAGCAGCCATTGATCGGGCGAAACCTACGCCCAAAAATTTGCCACTACAAGAGTAGAGCGCATTTCTTCATTTTCGGCGGTAACGGGCGTTATGGGGGATGGGGGGCGGTGGGGGTTATTAATGTGACGTCCCTCCCCGCCGTGTGGCTCTGGCACCACAGCAGCCTGTTGTTTTATCTTCTGGGGTAGCGGCCGTCATCGGCCCCGCCCCCCACCCCCCCAAATGACGGCACGTTCCGAGCCGGCGGCGCCCAGGAATGCCCAGGGATGACCGAGGCCAGATGGGAACAGCATTTTGGTGGCGATCTGCCCCACAGCGCCTGTGTACACAACAGCGCTCGCGTGCACCTCAGCGCGCGTGTTCACCACAGCGCCTGCGTACTTCGCCACAGCCGTGTGCAACGCAGCGCTTGTGTACACCACAGCGCCTGCACGCACCACAAACAGCGCCGATGTACACCACGGCGAATGTGCACACCGCAACCATGTGCAACGCGTCGCCTGTGTACAGCCCCGCAGCGCCTGTGCACACCACAGCATACGCGTGCAACGCAGCGCTGGTGTAGACCACAGCGTCTGCGTGCAAAGGACAGGTAGAAGGGGCATGTCGGCGAGGACTTGCTGCGGACAGATAAACACCACGCCAGGGATGTGCTGATAGTAGAACGCGACGTGTTTCCCCCCTCCCTCCTTTCCACCTCCACCTCAACATGCATCTCCTCCTCCTCCTCCTCCTCCTCCTCCAAGTCTTCCCCATTATCCTCCTCCTCTTCCTCCGCCTCTTCCTCCTCCTCTTCCTCCTCCTCCTCCTTCTCCTCATCCTCCTCCTCCTCCTCCCTCACCCTTTCCCCCTGTCGTGCGGGTCGGCGCTGCAGCGCACGTGCGCATATCAGCGTGTACCGTAGAATGGTCGATTGAATCGAACGATCTGGTTCTCGGATGGCTAATTCTGCTGGAGCCTCCTGGGCGCAGACGGGAGGAGTTAGGATGATGCGGGAGGACACGGGAGGACTCGTAGATTCCAGCGGCGCTCCTCTCTCCATAAAGATTCGTTTCCCAGTCCTACAGAATATATTTGTTTACTGTGGAATCCACAGACGCTCCATTTTGTAAGAAGCATTCCTTCACTCGGTTGCTGTGGTGCACGCGGGCATTGTGGTGTACACAGGCGCTGTAGTGCACGCAGGCATTGTGGTGTACACTGGTACTGTGTTGCGCACGGCGGATGTGGTGCACGCAGGCGCTGTGGTGGACACAACCGCTGTGGTTTCCGCAGGCACTGTGGCACACCGTTGCGCTGTGTTGCACGCGTCTGTTGTGGTGTAGATAGGCTGTGTGGTGTACACACACGCGGTGGTGCACGCAGGCACAGTGGTGTACACAGGCGCTGTGATGCAGATCGCCACTTGCATGCTTCTGCTACCCGTCCTGGGTCATCCCCCTCAGATGACGGCCGTCATCGGCCCGGAATGGTAAACAGAGCAGGCTCCAGCCGCGTCGTCCGCGCGCGCGACGACGATGAACGATGAGCGATGAGCGATGAGCGACGACGCCGACAAGACGACGACGACGACGACGACGACGACGACGACGACGACGACGACGACGACGACGACGACGACGACGACGACGACGACGACGACGACGACGACGACGACTGCGAATTAGACTGATTCCGATGCGGACGCCTATGCGGATCCCGATGCGCACGGCGGCAGTGCCCGGGGCGCGCTGGGGGGGGGGAGGGGCAGGGGCGTTATCTTTTGGGGGTGGCCAGGGGCCATGACGCCCGCTATGCCCCAAGAAACAGAGAAACACGCTCTTACAAGAGCCGTCGAACGAGGAAACGTACGAAGGCTGGAACAGACAACTATAACCGGAAACCGGCACGCACCACAAAACAAAACCCGAGCGTCCACGAAAAACAACGAGTCCTGGAAACGCAACCGTTTCTCGCAACCCCCTCTTTAGCCTTTGAACTTCCTTCCTCCTATACACAACAACGGCATGATAATGCAAAGCGAAAGCCTGAATGACACGCTCCTGCCCTAATTTGCAAAAGTCCCCCGTTTCCCAAGAACCCTCGGCCATCCCCGAATTTTCATTTGTTGGGCAGTGATTTTTGATCGGGCGAACGCGACGCCGAAGAACAACCCATCGCACGATAACAAGAGCCGTCGAACGAGAAAACCTACGGGCGCTGGAATGGGAAACCCCTGCTGGAAACCTCCGCGCACCACGGAGCGACACCTGGACACCCACGGAAACGCAACGAGCTTCCCCTGGGCCCCTTTTTCCAACCCTCGGGCGAATGCCACGCCAAGAAGAGACCATCGCATGAGAACGAAAGCCGTAAAACGAGGAAGCCCGGAGACGCTGGACTAGGAAGCTACTGATGAGAGCCTCCAAACACGACGGGGCGAAACCCGAACGCCCGCGAAAAGAAACCCATGACTGCAAACGCGATCGCTCATCTAGACCCAACCCAGCCTTCGAACTTCCCTCTTCCAATGCACGACGACAACTACATGAAAATGCAGAGCGGGCGCTTGAATAATACACGCCGGCCCGAATTTTGAGAAATCCCCCGTTCCCCAAAAATCTCGGCCACGCCATCTTTTCAATCTCAGGGCAGTTTCCGCTGATCGGGCGAACAAGACGCCCCCAAAACAGCAACACATGATGACGCGCGCCGTCGAACGAGGAAACGCACGGAGGCTGGAATCGGAAACTCCTGCTGGAAACTTCCACGCACCACGGAGAAACCCGAACGCCAGCAACAAAAAAGAACGAGCCATGTAAGCGCCATCGAGTCTCGAGACCCCCTCTCCAGCCCCTCTTCCTTTGCAAATCGGCTGCATGATGGCAAAAGGCGAGCGCCTGGAGAACTCGCGCCTGCCCAAAACTCTGAACCCCCCCAGCGTTTCCAGAAACTCTCGGCCACCCTGGGTCGTCAACGTCGGGGCAGTCTCCGCTGATCGGGCGAACGCCGCCCCAAAGACCAACCCAACACACGGTAACAAGATCCACTGGACGAGGGAACCAACGACCGCTGGAGCAGGACATCCCTGCTGGACACCTCCGAACACCGTGGAACAAGAAGAAGAAAAACAGTAAAACAAATGCCCGCGAAAAACAACGCGTCTTGCAAACGAAACCGCGTCTCCAGACCCAACCCAGCCTTCGAAAATCCCTCTTCCAATGCGCGACAACAACGTGAAAATGCAGAGCGGACCCCTGAATAACATGCGCCAGCCCCAATGATGGAAACGCACCATTTCCAAGAATTCTCGGCCATCCCGAGTTTCAGTTTTAGGGCAGCAGCCGCTGGCTGGGCGAACGCTACGCAGAAAAAACACTCATCACATGATGACAAGAGCCGCCGACAAAACAACCCTACGGACGCTGGGATAAGAAACTCCTGGTGGCAGCCTCCGCGCACCGCGGGGCGAAACCCGAGCGCCCGCGAAGAACTAGGAGCCCAGCTGAAAGAGCGCCGGAGCAAAGGGGGAGGGTTCCCCCTTAGCTGCCCCCCCCTCCCTTCCGCCTCCCCTGCTGGAAGCTCCCCTCTGGCCATCGCTCGGACGTCCATTCCCTGTGTTTTTGTTCGGATTCGTGCGTGGCTTTTTCGCCAAATGATCAAGGATGCTCCTCGATGGTCCTCGCCGACGGAAAGATGCACACGTCCGAGCGATGCCGAGCCCCCCCTCCACCCCTTTTTCGCCTCTCCCCTGAAGCTATCCCCCCCTCCCCCGTTGCGCCCCTCTGGAGCTGCCCCCCCTCTCCCCCTCCTTTCCAAAGGGAGGCGGGGCTTAGCTCCCTTTGGTTCCAAAGGTGGGGGGGGGGGGCTTAGCAGCCCCCCCCCCCCTCCCCCCCTTTCGGCGGCCAGGAAGCTACCACCCCCTCCCCCCCTTACCTACCCCCCTCCTTTGACCCCCCTCTGCGGGAAGCCCCCCCCCCCCCCCCTATCCCTCAATTTTTTCCCCCTGCCGGAAGCTCCCCTCCCCTCCCCCCTTTCCAAAAGGGAAGGGGCGGCTTAGCTACCACCCCCCTCCCTAGAACTCCCCCCTGCCGGACGATCCTCCCCCGTCGCCGTCGTCGTTGCCGTCGCCGTCGCTCGACGTCTTCGTACGACGCCGTCGTCGTCCTCGTCGTCGTTGTCGCCGCCGTCGCCGTCCTTGTCGCCGAATTCGCATGACCTCGTCGTGGTCGTCACGACGAGGACGAGGTCATGCGAAGACGGCGACGGACGACGGACGACGCGCGACCGACGACCGACGACGACGACGACCAGGGTCAGAGAAACCGAGACCACGACCAAGGTGCCGAGAAAACGAAGAAACGAAGCAGGGTCCGAGAAAACGAGACCACGGCCCAGGGGCCGAGAAAACGAGAAAACGAACCAGGGTCCAACAAAAACGAACCAGGGTCAGAGAAAACGAGACCACGACCCAGGGGCAGAGAAAACGCGAAAACGAACCAAGATCCGATAAAACGAGACGACGACCCAGGGGGCGACAAAACGAGACAACGAGAAAACAAACCAGCGCCCGAGAAAACGAAATTACGACCCAGAGGCCGAGAAAGCGAGACAACGAGAAAGCGAACCAGGGCCCGAGAAAGCGAGAACACAACCCAAGGGCAGAGAACATGAGAAAACGAAAAAACAAACAAAGGGCCCGAGAAAACGAAACAAAAACCCACAAGCTGAGAAAACGAGACAATGAACCAGGGTCCGAGGAAACGAGATAACGTCCCAAGGGCCGAGAACACGAGAAAACGATAAAACGAACCAAGGTCCGAGCAAACGAGTCCACGACCCAGTCCGAGAAAACGCGAATACTGGTCTTAGCAAACGAGACCACGACCCAGGGGCCGAGAAGACGAGAAAACCATTAAAGGAATCAGGGTCAGAGAAAACGAGACTACGAACCAGGGTCCAAGAAAACGAGACTACGAGAAAACAAACCAGCGTCCGAGAAAACGAAACCACGACCCAGTGGCCGAGAGAACAAGAACACGAGGAAACTAACCAGGGTCCGAACAAAAATGGACCACGACACAGGCGCCGAGAAAACAAAAAAACGAGAAAACGAACCAGGGTCCGAGAAAACAAGACCACGACCCAGGGGCAGAGAAAACGAACAAACAAACCAGGGTCAGAGAAAACGAGACCACGACCCAGGGGCAGAGAAAAAAACGGGAACACGAACCATGGCCCGAGAAAACCAAACCACGACTCAGGGACAGAGAAACCGAGACCACGAAACGGGGCCCGAGAAAACGAAACCACGACCCAAGGGCCGAGAAAACGAAAAAGAGAACACGAAACGGGGTCCGAGAAAACGAGACCACGACCGAGGGGCGGAGAAAACACGAGAACGAGAAAACAAACCAAGGTCAGAGAAAACTGGACCACGACCCAAGGGCTCCGTCAGCCGTGGCCGCGCCGAGAGACCAGGGAGAAGTGCTCTCGGAGGCTCCCGGCGTGTCCTCTCAGCCCCTGGTGGAGCCCCTTGGCCCAAAGGAAGAGGCGACAGAGTGGCTCTCTGGAGGCGCCCGTGTGGGTCGCCCTGCGGGACCCCAGCCAACTGACGGACAACTCCCCTCGGAGAGAGATGAGCCGATTCCGAGACCTCCAGATTTGGCGCGAGATGCGCCTGACAATTGACGGCCCTCCCTGCACCCAGGGTTGCTGTGTTGGCTTCGACTTTCACTGTGATGTTGGGTGCGGGTGTGGGCTGTGCCGCGAGGACGGCATCGATGCGAATCCTTCCCAGCGAATTCTCCCCGCCCCCCACCATCGTCATCATCACCACCACCACCATCATCATCATCATCATCATCATCATCATCATCATCATCATCAGCCTCATCATCATGATATCATCATCATCATCATCACAATCAGCATCATCATCATCATCAGCGTCATCGTCATCATAATCAGCAGCATCATCATCATCATCAACATCATCAACATCATCAGCATCAACATCATCAGCATCAAAATCATCAGCATCAGCATCAGCACCAGCACCAGCATTATCAGCATCATCATCATAATCATAATCATACCACCATCACCATCATCAGAATCACCATCACCATCACCATCGTCATCACCACAATCATCACCATCATCATCATCATCACCATCATCATCATCTTCACCATCATCATCATCAGCAGCATCAACATCAGCATCAACAGCATCATCATCACCATCACCATCATCATCATCATCATCATCAGCATCATCATCATCATCATCATCATCATCATCATCATCATCATCATCATCCCGTTCCTCCGTCCTCAACGTCGCGTCCCCTCCCACGGCGTCAGGAATCGTATCTCTGATTACAAAGCTGTGCGTCTCAGTCAGAACAAGCGGAAACGATCGGGATCCAACGGCTCCGGCCCGGCAGCCCGCCGCGTGTCTGCAGGCAACGGCAGAGGGGCGGGGGGCGAACCATCGATGCGTTGCATCTCGGTCTGGAATACGCTCTCTAAGCGGCTTCCGCGTCCCTGGCGCGAGGCGACGGGGGGAGAAGGGAAGAGGAGTGAGGAATGGCAGGGTAGCGGGGGAAGACAAAGGGCGACAATAACGCGCGTGAGTATGTTGACGACGGCTGGGGTGCCAGGGGTCATGTAAGGCCCTGCCTCACAGAAAACTGTGCCCTCGCAAGTGGCGCCCTCACGATCGCCCGACCAGGCGATAAGATGGCATTTGTCGCTGTCGTCGTCGTTTCCTCCGCGCCGCTTCTGGCGTCGCCGCGCGCGCCGCGCAATATGGAACCTCAGGCGCGGATGGGGCCCCCCGTTTGTTCTGTTTCACAATCGGATCGTCGTCTTGGTTTCGGTCGCGCTCGTCGCCCCGGCCCCCTGCCCCCCCCCCCTTTCCTCTCGCTCGGTGCCCCCTTCGTCGTCGTCGTCGTCGTCGCCGCTTGTGTTCCGCCGCGTGACGTTACTGCGTTCCGTTTCTCCGATAGAAAATGCCATGGCCCAGTCCAAGTTGAGCCTATCGCTCGCGCATGCAATATGCATGCCCCCTCCGGCCGCGCAGCCATAACTTTCAGCGCATGCATTCGCCATGTGTTTACCGAGCGCACTTGGATCTCCAGCAGGACTGATTCGAGGGTTCAGGCTTGCCCGTCTTAGACTTGTTTTCCGTCGGCGATTTTCTTTTCAGGCTTTCTGTTCAGGGGCAATGATTGTTGTTGTGCGTGTCACATTCCAGCTTGTCGTGAGTCGTCTCCCTTGCACCTCTCCCCTTGCCTCCTATCCTTCTTCTCGTTTTGCCCCTCCGTTCCCGCTTGATACCTCTTTGGCACATCAATGTTTTTCCCCGTGCGCGCAGGGGTCTCCGCGGACATGGGCGGCATCGGCGGCTATCATTTCCGCGATGACAAATTCCAAACTCAATCTCGCAACAATCTCAAAATGAACAGGCACGGCGGCGAGCGCGCAGTTGTCGTCTGCTGCATCGGTCTCTCTGCATTTCCTCTTTGCCCCCCTTCCGTCCTCTGCGCTTTGAGTTTGCAGCGCGCGCGCAAATTGCCCCTCTCTTGCGGTCGGGGTGGAAGGATGGCGGCGCATTCCGTTCGATGGTCAGCGAACTCTATACTCCGTGGTGATAAAAAGGCTTACGGGCCCCACGATGGAGACACTCCCCGCGTCCAGGGGGCGTTCGCGCACAGCTCGCCGGATGCGCTATTCGTAGTTCTGCATCCGCGGAGGTGGCCAGCGATTGGCATGCGGGGCGCTGGTCAACGACGACTCCATATACCAACGTGAAAACGTACCTCTGCTGTACAGCGCTGGTGATACTTGCAATTCGGAACACTCTTGTTGTGCTGATGGGCCACTGTCGGCATCTTCCACGCCGCCAGCGCCAAGTGCACTTTCGGCACCTACGTCGCCGAATATTGTCACATTCCTAGCCGCTTGCTTAGTGGGGGTCTCAGGGTGGCGGATGGTATCCTGACCAAGCAAGCGTGCGCGTCTGTGAAAATTCGTGCGCGTGGGAATGCGTGTGCGTGCGCGTGTGCGTGTGTGTGTGTATGTGTGTGTGTGTGTGTTTGTGTGTGTGTGTGCGTGCGTGTGTGTGTATGTGCGTATGTGTGTATGTCTGTATCTGCGCGCGTGCCTGTGCGTATGCTTGCGCGTGCGCGTGCGCGCGTGCGCGTGCGCGTGCGCGTGCGCGTGCGCGCGCGCGTGCGCGTGCGCGTGCGCGTGCGTGTGCGCATGCGCGTGCGCGCGCGCGTGCGTGCCTGTGCACGTGTGTGCGCGCGTGCGCGTGCGTGTGCGTGTTGGTGCGCGTGCGAACGTGCGCGTGCGTTTGCGTGTGCGTGTGCATGTGCGTGTGCGCGCGCGTTCGTGCGTACGCGCGCGTGCGTGTACGTGAGCGTGTGCGTTACATGTGCGTGCGCGTATGCGTGTGCGCGTGCGTTTGCGTGCACCTGTGCGCGTGCGTGCGTGCGCGTGCGTGCGTGTGTGTGTGTGTGTGTGCGTGCGTGCGTGCGCGCGTGAATGCGTGCGCGCGTGCGTGCGTGAGTGCGTGCGCGCGCGTGCGTGTGTGTGTGTGTGCGTGTGTGTGTGTGTGTGTGTGTGTGTGTGTGTGTGTGTGTGTGCGCGTGTCTGCGTTCGTGCGCGCGCGCGTGTGTGCGTGCGTTTTGTGTGCGTTTGTGTTTGTGTGTGCGTGTGTGTGTTGTGCGCTCGTGCGTGCGTGTGTGCCTGCGTGCGCGCGCGTGTTTGCGTGGTTGCGCGTGCGTGTGTGTGCGTTGTTTGTCGAATGTTGTGCGTTGTGTATTCTGTGCTGTGCATTGTGCGTTGTGTGTTGTGTTATGTGTTGTGATTTGCGCGTAGTGCAAGTGCGTTGTGTGTTGTGTTGTGTATTGCGTGTTGTGTTGCGTGACATGTGTTGTGTAACGTGCGTTATGTGTTGCGCTGTGCGGTGTGCGTTGTGCGATGTGCGTTGCGCGTCGTTTGTTGCGTTGCGCGCTGTGCGTTGCGCGACGTGTTGTGCGCTGTGTGATGTGCGTTGTGCGTTAAATGTTGCGTTGCGCGCGCGCGCCTTCGCTGGCCCCCCGCCGCGAGCATCGCCCGCAGATGCAGCCGAGCCGCGCGCCCAGGACAACAGCGCAGGCGGCGGTCGGTAAGGGGGCGGCGCGCGGCCGGGGCACGGTCCGCTGCGCAGCCACCCGACGCCGATGCACAAACCCCGCGCGCTGCGTAGATGCACCCAAAAAACATGACCGGCTCCGCCCCTGCACTGGTGGACACAGACAGCCCCTGCCAAAGCGCGCGCCTCGCATCGCAAGCGCGGCGCGGCAAACTCGGCGCCGCATGCAGCTCGCGCTGCGCGCGCGCCGAATCGGCGAGGAAGGGTGTCAGTCAGCTCTCGGCGGCGCGATGGGGCGGCCTACGCCGCGCGACTCCGCGCGAGGCTCGCGGTAGCATGTGGGGGCGCGCGTGCGCGAGAGAGCACACCTTGGGCCATTCGCGCGCGTTCGCGAAATATGGGCACAGGGCGGAAGGGGGCATGTAAGAGGTCGGGGAATGCCCCCGACGAGCCGCAGGCCTCATCCGCGCCAGCGCATTTGACCGAAGCCCCCAGGGATACGCTATCGACCCCGAAGAGGAGAGACGACAAACGACGACGACGACACCAGCGACGAAGACCGACGACGACAACGACGACGACGGCGCTGCGCCCGCCCTTGACCGAGATCACGCCGAGCGACCGGCGCAGACGGGCTGCCAGGCCATAGCGAGCAGCTGGGAGGTTCGCCGCTGCCCTCGACTTCTTGACCGCCACGTCGAGGTCCACGTCCACGAGTGGCGTCTCGAGCTTGAAGGCCGCCTCAGCGACCTCCTCCGCCCCCCGCACGACCCCGCCAACTCGATGGAGCACGAGGTCGTCCACGACCACTGCCAGCGACGCGGCCGGGTCCGGGGTGACCAGGCGGTCGAGCGGCCCGATCAGGATGAGCTTCAGCAGCGAGGCCGCGAAGCCGTCGCCAGGCAGGATGGACTGCCTCGCCTCGATCACGCTCGAGGCAGCGCTGCCCGTGCAGAGGGCCCTCGGCGCGCAGCGCAGATCCGGCGTCAGCTTGAGCTGCCGCAGCCGGAAGCCAGTGGCGATGGCATCTTCGAGCAGCCAGCGGTGTCGCACCTGCTCGAACGCCTTGAGCAGGTCGAGCAGGACGGCGACCGCCACCCAGGACTCGGCGTCGCCGCGGTCAGCGCCCCGCTGCGTGGCCCACTCTCCGATCGCAGCTTGATGCCGCGCGGCCCGCTCGCAGCCGCGGCCAGCCGTGGCCCGCCAGTATGGGCGATCGTTTGCCTCCTCCCACTTGCGGGCAAGTCCACGCGGAAGTCGCGCCGGCACCCTCGCTGGCACCATGATGACGGCGATGGGCCTCACGCCGCCCGGCCGCCTCTGGATGAAGCCGATCTTGGTGGTCATGAGCGGCCAGGCAGCGTCGCGCTCGATCGCCATGAGGACGTCGATGAGAACCCCCAGCGCCTCGCCGCGCGGCTCATCAAGCTGACGCGGCCTCGCGGCGCAGAAGGACATGCCCGTGGTGGCCCTGAAGGAGCGCAGCACCTCGCGCAGCCCCTGGACTGTGGGCCTCGGCGGCCTCTCGCCCAGGTCCGAGGGCCAGTGCAAGCGCATGTGCTCGCAGGATGTCCTCCACCAGGGACTCCACTCTACCTCGAGCTGCGTCACCTGCTGCCCGATCCAGGGGCTCGAACAACTGCCTGCCGTCGCCGAGGCCGCAGTCGTTCTCGACTTCGCCGATGGGGCTCGGGTCGAACCCGATGGGCAGACGGGGGGCCGCGTGAAGATCGCCGCCTCCACCTTCGGCCTGCTTCTCGACCCACTGCTGGCCCAGGTCGCCTCTGCAGGGGCTCGAGGCCAGCGAGCACCAGCCAGAGGGAGCCGACGGTGCCGCCGCGGCTCTGCGGGGCGAGCTCGCCCCTTGTGCTTGACCCTGTCCTCCTCCACCTGATAGATGTCGATCCACTCATCCTCGGCGGCGTCGAGGAGCCGCTGCCAGTCGGTGGCGAGGTGGCCCCTGATGCTGTTCTCATGCTCGACCTTGTCCAGCGCCCTCTCCTGCCCGCCAGCAAGCAAGCTCTGCAGTTCCTGGCCGATATCGCCCCGGCGCTCGCCGCGCGCATGGCAAGCACAGCCCGCAGGCCGCTGGGCGGGGAAGGACTCGGGCACCTGCGCGACCCTGACCCGCGGCCTTCTGCGCGAGGCCCCCAACTCCAAGATGGCGGGCTTGTGCGGGTAGGCTGGCGACCCACCGACCACTCGGATGTTGGTCGCCTTGAGCCCTCGCGAGACGATGAACAGGTCGATCGTCCTCTTAGACTGCGCGCAGGTGACCCCCAAGGTGTCCGCGACGACGGGATCGAGGAGCCTCAGCGCGCCCGACTTCGCCAGCTCCTGCTTGGTGCAATTGAAGTCGCCCCCGACCACGCACGGGCGACCATGCTCTCGCAGCCTGCAGGCC